TTTATCCACAAATTTATCTTAAAATTGACATCTCATTAAAAAACAACGTATTTCTCTCTTTCATATATACTAAAGGACATCTTGGTTGCCTCCACATTTTGCTAAATAAAGCTGCTATGAAGATTTATGTGAATGTTTTTGTGTTCATATGTGTTTTCAATTCATTTATATAAATACCAAGGAGCATGACTACTGGGCTACAGAGTATGAGTTCATTTAGTTTTCCAAGAAACTGTTAAACTTTCTTCTAAAGCGACTATACCATTTTGAATTCCCACCAGCAATAAAAGAGGGTTTCTGTTGCTTCCCAATCTCACCAGCATTTGGTGGCGTCAGTATTTTGCATTGTGGCCATACTAACAGGTGTGTAGTGGTATCTTATTTTTGTTTTATTTTCCATTCCCTAATGTTACATGCTATTGAGCACCTTTTCATCTGCTTTTTTTGCCATATGTATATCTTCTTTGGTGAGGTGTCTGTTCATTTTTTTTGCTCATTAAAAAAAATAGGTTGTTTTCTTCATTACTATTTAAATAGGTCTTTATATATTTTGGATGTCATCTTTTACCTAATAAGTATTTTGCAAAGATTTTTCTCACAATCTGTGACTTGTCTTCTAATTTTCTTAAGTGTCTTTCTCACAGAATTGTTTTTATTGTAATGATGTCTAACTTACCAATTTATTATGATTGTTCTTTTGATGTTGAATCTAAGAAGTCATCACCAAACCCAAGGTCATCTAGATTTTTTATTCACCATAAAACTGCAAAAAAAACAAAACATCACTTTATAAAAAGTTTACAGCAAGTTTTATGGAATAGTGGTTATTTCTTTACATCAAGATGATTGAAAGGAAAAATAACTTGGGATAAATTAGACTACCGGTGAGTTCAGTTTTTTTATTTTATGTTCCCCTCTGAAAATGTGTAGATGTGTGTGCACAAGAAAAAGCTCCTTTCAAATAATCAAAGAGGGAAGAATGACTATAAATTCACTCTACAACGCCAGTATTTTCCTGATAGCAAAACCAAAGACATTAAAAAAAGAAAAAGGAAAATTATAGGCCAATATCCTTGATGAATATAGATGCAAAAATTATCAACAAAATGTTAGCAACCAGATTTGACAATACATTAAAAGGATTATACACCATGTCCTAGTGAGATTTAACTTAGAGATGCAAAGATCGTTTAACATCTATAAATCAGCCAGTGAAATACATCACATTAACAAAATAAAGAATAAAATATTTAGATGTAAAGTAACTATTAGTATTTTAAAGGGGGGGTCACAATTATTATTGAATAGTTTTCTATTAGTTTGAGAATGTATAGGTTGAAGATCATTTGGATTGATAAGAAAGATATGTCACTGGAAGACAAAGACCCACCATTCATCTTTCCAGAAACCTACTGAATCCACAGCCTAGGTATATGGCCTGAGTGGGAATCGAACCTGCAACCCTTCAGTGTGCAGGATGACGCTCCAGCCCACGCACCACACCAGCCAGGGATATCGTGTTTTCTGAAGGTGTGTCATCTCGGTGGATTTTATTTTATACCTACACAGGCAGAGCAGCTCGCAGTCACAATGACGGGGGGCCCCTGTTTCTCTGGGCTCTGCAGGGAACAGTAGACACAAACCCCAGTCACTGGCATTTGTCTCTGATACAGAAAATAGAAATGCAGAAAGGAGGGTAGCATAGCTTCACTACGGCTGTTCTTACTATTGAAAGGCTGCATCAGTCATAACTCTAGAAACAGAAATTCTGTCCCTAGGACAAAACTCCAGAGGGAAAGTTTACCACGGAGGCCAGGCTGGCATCGCAGCTACCGCTCAGCCTCTGCCTATACACCTAAGCCAGGGCTCCATCCCGGGAGGATGCGTCGACCTGGAGCCAGTCTACTACTGGGTGACCTAAGGGGACCCTATCTGCCTGTTTCTGGAAAGAGCTCAGAATCAAGAAATAGCAAACTGAACATCAAGAACAACAGCATGAAGGCATAAAGAAAGGATTCAGCACTTTAAAATAATGTATAAATGCACTTAAACTACACTGCATTAAATATTCCAAACACATAATTAGAAAACATATGTTAAGAAAATGAAGTAAAATGTCTTAAATATTTGTTTCTCTATAGGTATAATTCATTATAGTAAGCACTTTTGCCATAAACAGTGGCTGAGAAATAAAGGAGATACTAACAGAGTGAGAGGAAGAAAGGATAAGTGGAAATAAAAACATAGGAATATAACTTATATACTCATTAACATAGTTGAAAATCATCTGAACACTGGAGAAAATCTAATCAGGAGTGTGGAGGACATGCTGAAGAACACTCCCAGAATAAAAAGGAAATTCTACGCATGGTTAATCACATGTAGGTTGACTCTATTAAATAGTGACGGATGTTTAAAATTTAAAGGTATTAGAAGGGTTAATTATAAAGGAGAAAGCACATGAGAGGGAAAGAAGTGGAGGAGGAAGAGTAAAAGGAAGGAGGGACGGATAAAGATGATGGAGAAAAGGAATCATAAGAAGGGAGAAGGGGAGGGGAGGAGGAGGAGAAAGTGATGTGAGACAAGGAAAAACTGGAAAATGAGGGGAGGAAGCCATGGAGGAGGGGGAGAAAGGTGAAAGGTAGTAAAAAGGGAGAGAGAGAGAGAGAGAGAGAGAGAGAGAGAGAGAGAGAGAGAAGTGAGTGAGAGAGAGAAGGAGAAGGAGGAAAAGAGGAAGATGAAGAGGGAAGAGAGGAGGGGAGAGGAATGGAGGGCAGAGGAGGAGCACAAGGGAATAAATAAATGGAAGAAGAGAATGAGCAGAAAGAAGGGGGAGAGGGAGACAGGAAGACAGGAGAGTAAGGGAAGGAGAGGGGGAGGCGAACAGGGGGATGGGGGATAGAAAAGAGATGGAGTAAAAGGGGGAGGATAAAGAAAATAGTGGGAATGGAAGCGAGGAAAGGAAAGAGGACAGGAGAAGGAAGAGGCAAGTGGGATCATCTCGGGGTTCTCTGTAGCATTAATATAGGAAGAGCAATGGGGCAAATTCTACAGAATTCAGGCAATAGAACAAGTTATACAGAATATCACTGTGACACCCAGAGAAGAGTCATTTGTGTGTATATGCAACTAAAAGCATTCTCAGATAAGTTATCTCAGGAAGTATATCACTGCTATAATATATTGCTCAAAGGGCTACTCTAGCTGAACAAAAATTCAGCAAAATAAAGATATGAATAATGACTAGACCATGGAATAAAGAAACAGCCAACAAGCATTGAACCAGAATTCAGAGCAAATAATGACTACAAATATGGATGGGATAAAACAAAAGAATAAAAATGCCAAATAAAAATCTCAGAGAAACCATTAAATTTCTTTTAAATAAGAGGAAAAGAAAGGACCATAGTAAACTGGGTCTAAAGTCTTAGAATCTATAACAAAAAACAACGAAGTGGAAAGAGAAAAGGAAATAAAGGTGTTCTAGTATCATCTTTCACGGGAAGAAATACAACCAGATGGTCTCACTGTGCTACCTAGATATCAAAATCAACCAAAAACAGCACAAAAAATAAAAGCACAAACCAATATTCTAATCAATGAAGATGCAAAAATTCTCAGCCAGAATACCAGCAAATCCAACAATATATGAAAGACTCATAAACCATGACCACATGAGATTCATTCAAGGAATAGAATATTTGAAAAACAATGGTATTTATAAGCTATGGTAATCTATTGTATTTATAAGCTAAAAAAGAAAAATCATATCATCATGTCAAGTAATGTCAAGAAAACATTTGACAAAATTCAATACTCATTCACAATAAACATTCACACCAAGTGATAGCCTACTGGTTTAATGCAATTACAACTGTAATTAATACAATTCCTATTATAACCCCCAAAATGGTTTTATAGACATAGACAAGCTTAGTCGGAAATTTATATGTAAAGGTGCAGACCCTAGAATAGTTAAAACAATCTTGACGAAGAAGAATAAAATGGGAGGAACCATTCTGCCCAGTATCCAGGCTGACTCTGTGCTACGGTAATAAAGACAGTGGGCTGTTGGCAAAGGGGTGGGCACACAGACCAATGGGACTCAACAAAAAAGTCAGAAATAGAACCCCACAAATAGGTCCAACTGATTTCTGACAAATTACTAAATAAAGGAAGGATAGCCTTTTTTATACATGGTGCTGATCAAGTGAGCATCCATAGACAAAAAAAATAAAGGTTTAAATAGAACTCAACCTAAACCTTATACAAAAATCAACTCAAAATAAATGTAGACTGAAATATAAAACTACAAACTTTTGAGGAAAAAGAACCCCCAAAACAGGAGGATATCTTCAGGGTCTAGGGCTGGGCAAGTAGTTAAATTCATGCCAAAGCAGGACCCACAAAAGAATAAATTTATAAATTGAACCTCATAAAAATTAAAATTTTTCTCTGTGAAGACCTTTCCAAGTTATTTCATCATGTTCAACTAAGTCTTTTATACCATATTTTTAACATTTTGGTAAAATGAACAAATATTTTAGTCCCTAGTTTCAATATTTTTATAATTTCATGAATATAAGTTAAATAAGTTTTCTAATCACTAAGATAATTAACATGTTCTTAAAAATAATTTTAAGGTGTTTGAAGTTTTGGAAAATATATTAGACTTTTGGTTTTAATTATTTTTAATGGAATGTTTAGAAACTTTTGATTAAATCAGTTTGTAATCAATGTTTAAATGAGAAAAATTTAATTGGTTAATTTTTAATGTTCTGATTAGTCTAAGAAGCATTTAAATGTTCAGAGAAATATGAATGCGTTTACACATTTACTTAATTGTGCATAAAGTGAAGCACAACAGGAGCGAAGCTCTTCGTAGGTCTGGGAGCAAGTCGGTCACTGACTGGCGACCCCAGCCCACGCAGGCAAGTTTCCACCCTCTCCGTACAGCCTCCCAGCTGACTGGCCGCAGCTCTGGAGGGGGATGGTCTTACCTTATGGGGCTGTCCATCCTGGACACTGTGAGGAAGGCGGCGAGGTTGGCCGTGTAGGAGGAGCACACGATGAGGGTGAAGAGCCACCAGCTGCCCATCACGATGCGCATGGCCACGGAGTTCACGGAGGACTCGCCACCTGCGGGAGGGGCGGAGCAAAGGGGATTGGCTGGGGCTGCCACTCCCACCGGCCCCGGACCTGCTCTGGGCAGGCAGCCTCCACGGTGATGGGCTGGGGACCAGAGAAGTGGCTGCCAGCTTAGCGGGGGCGACTGTGCCAGTCCGGGAAAGACCCTAAGACACCAGTCTGGGGAAGGGATGGAGGATCAGAGGACATGGAAGAGCCAGGATTGGCCTTTTCCTGACGTGGTATCTGTCAAAACACCAAGGATTAAGCCCTACCACCCAACTCTCCCAGTTAGCAGGCTCCGCCCACTGTGAGGACCTGCTGGCGGCCACCTGGCTGAGGGCAGGCCCAGTCCCTTTTAAGGTCACATGGAGCCGCGTCGGGCATTCTACAGACAGGAATTACCTCCTACCCGGGGGGGCCGGGCGTCCTTCCGACCTCAGCATGAGGGCTGCCTGGCACCTTACTCACATGCAGCCCTCACTGCATGGCTCTTCCCGGCTTTCAGAGGGGCTGCCTCTGCGAGCCAGTGCTCTCCGGGCTCCTTCGTGGCAGCAGGAAGAGCTCCTGACTGCCTATCCTTACACAACCCCATGAGCACGCTGTGCTATGGTGCAAACTGAGCCAACACTCAGATAAGGGACTTCCCATTCCCTGTTTCTGGTGAAAACTGCACAGTCCTGTCACTCCACAGGCACTGCCCAGACGTCTCGGGCGGGAGACGTGCTATGTCCGACACGGCTGTGTCCCGCGTGGCTGCAGTGCTCTTAGGTAATTGCCAAGCAGTTGTCGTGTTTTCCCACTAAGGCTTCAAATTGAAGCAAGATTCCTTTGGTTTGGCAGCCCTGAGAGCATAGAATCATTCTGGCATGGGAGGGGACAGTGCCAGGCGGAACGCCACAGCCCACTCTGTCTAAAGTGGAGAACCGGGATTTGAACTTTGCCAACAGATAAGTTCTTCCAGGCGATCCCAGCACCAGGAACCCAGGAAGGTACCTTGTTGTACGAAGGCTCCATAGACGATCCAGATGGCACTGTGCAAGGTGGCAGACCCGGATGGCCGCGGCTGGGCAGCAGCCTGAGCCGTCACGGCCTGCATCCGGTTCAACACGAATATCAGCACGCCAACCACAGGGATGGCTGCCGCGATGCAGGCCCAGACCGCAAAGTCAAACGGAGCAAAGAGAGAGAAGATGCTGATCTTCTCCTCCGGCTTCTTGAGCAGGATCCCCACCGAGTAGTCCATGTACCGCTTGCTGAAGTCCACCACACTCTCCCTCTCCGGGGTGATGGTGATGGCGGAGATGGCCAAGTCTGCTCTCTGAAAGGCAAAACGTCTCATCAGAGGACGTCGAGGCTGACGCTGCTCTGTCCAGAGAAGACGGGATTCTCCAGGTGACACCCTGTGACCTTGCATGTTTTAAGGCAAATCCAGCACTAAGTGGTCTGATCTTACCTCTTTACCTCGTACACTTCTCTCCCAAACCTAACAGCTCCTGGAAACCGCGGCTGGAGACGAGAGGCTGGAAAGCATCTGCCTCCTGTGTGACGTGTAGTTTTCTCCAGCTCCTCCCTGTTGCCCCAGCAGCTTCCTCCTTTCTCAGGCTGGCCTGTCCCTCGGACCCACACACCACGAAGCCCCTGTGTCTTCCAGCTTGTCTGGGTCCTCCCTAGACTGGGAGCACAGACCCGCCACTTTCCTGTCAAGCCTCCCGGGCCCCCAGCCTGCCACACCCTGACGGCTTTCGTTTCTAAAATATTTTGGAAGTTGTATGGTGAGCTTTGCAACTACCTTGAAGCTCATTAATGTATCAGACCCTGATTGGTTTATATGCAGAGACTATGCCAAAGAGTACCATCCACCAAGAAAAGGGCCCCGCTTCCCTTGTTGTCCCACCTCCCCCTGCCGGGGCCTGCATGCCGGGGCTGCCTCTTCGCAGGAACACCGTGCCAGGAGGGGACTCGTGGGCGAGCTGCACTCTGACCTGAAACGCACCTCTCGGGATTTTTGCTTTCTAAGATGGGCTTCATTTTAAAAAGAATCAAAGGCCCCCATTAGGATGGAAGCAGACCGTGAGATAGCGCTGCCGACTGGTGGAGGTTAGGGTCCTTGTGCCTAGAGGGACGCTGGCAGGCAGTCCCAGGCTGGAGTGCCCGCCTCAAGCCCCAGGCCACTACGGTGGCCAGTGGTCATCTGGATCTTGGCTCTTGAGCCTTGAAGTCAGAGGCATCCTCAGAATTAGGTTTAGTTTAAAATGACCAATCATAACAACAGATCTAACCTACATATTCAAATTGGGAGAACATGCATAGATTTTATCAGGCTTAGTATGTGGGCTGGAGGGTCAGATGTGCTGATGTTCTGAACTGAAACCCAACAACACACCAAGAGCAGGAGAAATACTGGGGTGATGGTGTTGGCTCTTCTCCTACACTTTCATGTTTGCATCTCTGGCCTTCGCCTTTGCCTGTCTTATCACAAACCCCAGACCCAGGGGTTCTGTCCGCATGCTTGAGGATCTAGACAAGTTGGAGCAAAGCTGACTGAGAAAGGGGCCTGGTGGTGAAGGACACGTTTGCCGCACAGGATGGAGGCAAACTATATGGCGCCAGGTGCAGAGGAGCCACGGGAGCAGACACAGGTGGAGGGTGGCCTGGGGGCCGGAGGCAACACCGCTCCTGGGGCCGCCCTTGTCTGCAGATGTGAATTTCATAGGAAACTGACGTAGAATTCCATGCCCAACCGTCTTCACGTTGTTCAAGGTCGGAGCACAATCTTTCTTTGGTTTCATTTTCGAGGACAGATTATTAGGTTGCCGAGGAGAAAGGTCAACTTTTGAAACGTTCTCTAAGGAATGCTGCCAAAGGACCCAACCAAGGACAAAGCAAGGAGCTCAGGCTGCCCCGAGGCCCTGCTGGGGCGGAGCCACAGTGCCCATGCGCCCACCTAGGGACACCTGGGATTCCCCCACCTGTATGCGGCCACCTGAACGTCAGGGTCGGGGGACAGATAATAGCATCAAGTCAGGGTTTGGGGGCAACAAGAAATCAAAAACATTGAGAATCACAAAACATGGAGAATCAACCACGGAGGCCCAGCAGGCAGGAGAGGAGGAAGGATACGAACAGCACAGAAACCTTGGGGAAGGATGAACCTCAAACCCAGATGTGGAGTGGGAAGGGCCAGACACAAAAGATCACACATATTATACTGAATGTTCACGAAAGCGAATCTATGGAGATAGCCAGGAGATGGTGACTGCCCGTGCTGGGTGGGAATGGAAGTAACTGTGGATGAGTGAGAGAGCTCACCGGGTGGTGGATATATTCTAAAACTATGTTATGGAGATGGCTGCACAACTCTGAGGTTTTCTAAAAATCACTGAACCGTACATTTGAAATGGGCGAATTTTATGGCATGTAAGGTATACTGCAGCGAGGTTTTATTTAACGTCTGGGGAAACTGCATAGCAACGGGCGGGCCCCGGGGCTGCCTTTAGGGGTTTGTAAAGCAGAGGAGCCGTGTGCTAGGAGCAAAGCCACGAAAGACCCAGAAGTACAACAGGTGGTAGTCAAGACATGTGACAGTGACAGCAACACGGAGGGTGCTAAAAGATGCATGAATGTGCCCGGCGGTGTGGCTCAGTGGCTGAGCATTGATCTGTGAATCAGGAGGTCATGGTTCAATTCCCAATCAGGGCACATACCCGGGTTTCAGGCTCAATCCCCATTGAGGGGTGTGCAGGAGGCAGCTGATGAATGATTCTCTCTCATCATTGATGTTTCTCTCTCTCTCTCTCTCTCTCTCTCTCTCTCTCTCAATATATTTTATTGATTTTTTACAGAGAGGAAGGGAGAGGGATAGAGAGTTAGAAACATCGATCAGAGAGAAATATTGATCAGCTGCCTCCTGCACACTCCCTACTGGGTATGTGCCCACAACCAAGGTACATGCCCTTGACCAGAATCGAATCTGGGACCCTTTAGTCAGCAGGCTGATGCTCTATCCACTGAGCCAAACCAGTTAGGGCGATGTCTCTCTCCCTCTCTCTCTCTCTCTCTCTCTCTCTCTCTCTCTCTCTCTCCATTCTTCTCTGAAATATATATATTAGAGGACCAGTGCATGAAATTTGTGCACTCAGGGTGGTGGGGAGTGGGAAGGTGGGGTGGGTGTCCCTCAGCCTGGCCTGCGCCCTCTCCCAGTCCAGGAGCCCTTGGTGCCTAAGCCGTTAGTCAGACATCCTTAGCGCTGCCGCAGAGGCAGGAGAGGCTCCCACCACTGTCACTGTGCTTGTTATCCCTTAGCCCGGCTTCTGGCTGAGCAGCGCTCCCCCTGTGGGATGGGGCCGAAATCAGCTCTTCGACATCCCCCCAAGGAGTCCCGGATTGTGAGAGGGTGCAGGCCAGGCCAAGGGGCCCCACCGGTGCACAATCAGGGCTGGAGAGGGACGTGGGAGGTTGGCCAGCTGGGGAGTGACTGCGGGAGGGCTCCAGGGGGTGTCCAGCCTATCTCACTGAGTCCCGATTGGCCGGACCACAGCAGCAAGCTAACCTACCAGTCAGAGCGCCTGCCCCTTGGTGGTCAGTGTAAGTCATAGCGAGCAGTTGAGCATCCTTAGCATATTACACTTTGGTTGGTTGAATGGCCAACCAGTTGACTAGACACTTAGCATATTAGGCTTTTATTATATAGAATATATATTTTAAATGTATATATATTTAAAAGATACATGGATGTGGGTGCTGAGTGAGGAACTTGCGAAGGTCACTGGTGGTGAGAAGTTCAAAGCACTGTGACCCCACAGCTGTCCACAGGCACTGCAGAAACCTCTGGGTGGGTGGTGACAGGGTGACAGTGACCGTGGAGAGGGTGGGCTTGCACCATAGGCCACCATCCTAAATGATTGTGAGGAAATGGCCAGAGCTCCTGAGATGACAGGGGCAGGAATGGGGACACGGTGACTTGGCCTCATGTGTGGGTCTCAGTGCGGACTCGGGTTCCACAGCAGGGAGAGGAGTAATGGTTCTATATTGGTGGACGAACTGGAACTGGCTGAGGAATGCCATGCCAGCTGCACACGCAGTGCAAGCAATGCAGACACACGCACATGCACGCACACACACATGCACCTCACTGATGGGCCACGTGAGGGAGGAGAACTGGCATCAGCAGTGCCCCCGTTGAGAACGAGTTTCCCCCCTCAGCACACATGTAGGGGTGGGCTTCCTGGGGTACATTACAGAGCAGGCACAGGGACAGGCTTCTCAGGAAGTGGAGCAATGGGCACAGAAGGAAAACAGAGAGAGCCAGGGACTGAGCAAAGGAGCAGGAAACGGGGATGGTGGGGAGAGGATTGTGGAGAAAGAGAGCGCTTATGTGTGAAAGTGGTAACTGTGGTCCCAAGGTTCCAGCTGCTCAATGGGCCACATTTGGGTACCCTCCTCCCCCCAGGCAGGCGGGGTGCCCCCGGGGACCTGCTGCTCAATGGGCCTCATTTGGGTACCCTCCTCCCCCCAGGCAGGCGGGGTGCCCCTGGGGACCTGCTCGGGGACCTACCTTGCTGATGAGCTCCCCGATCATCCCATTCCAGGAGGTGTTGTGGAGCTGGTGGCCATACCCGCCATCGGGGGCCTGGTAGATCTCATACTTGAAGCCCAGGGCCTTGGCCAGCGCATCCAGGACGTCCACGGAGAAGCCTTTGTAGCGCTTGGGCTGCCCGAGGATGTTCTCGGCCACCATCACAAAAGGCTCCTCCTGAGGCCACAGAATGAGCAGTGTCAACACCTACCAGGCCAGCAGCCACGCGCCCAGGTGCCAAGACCGAGCTGGTGGCAGCAACTGGAATGCTGCAGACAGTGCACGCCTTCACCCGGTGAGGCTGCAGCCTGAGCCCTCTGCCCTTTCCGGGCCCTCGGTCATGCTGGAAGGCCCTGTGGCCAGCATGCCATGGGGCACAGCCTTACAACCTGGGTTACATTATCCCGGCTCTGCCCAGACCCGTCTCCCAGGTCACACGGCTCCTTCCACTCCTTCACCTGTGACAGCCCGAGCTCTGCCCTTAGGAAATGCCATCATTCCTCGGGACCCAGCTAAGAGGCGTGGATATTTCTCATCCAGGAGCTTAATGACAATGAAGTTCTGCGATGCTGGGCTGAGAGAAGCGTAGCATCTACCAGGCTGCACTAGGGAATGGATGCTGATTCACGGGCCATGAGCATATCATAAGTCAAAGGACAGGAGAGGATAGGAGAGAAGAGGATAGGACTGAATCCCACTCCCAAGCCACGCCCTGCGCACAGCCACGTGCTCCTGCAGGGACCTGGCGTCTGGCAAACGCCTGGGCACTGCCACCCGCCCTGTGACCCTGAACAGGGGCAGCCTCTGGTGAACAGCCCCAGGGAACGTATCTCATTAATGTAACGGTTTTTGAGGGAAAGGGATGTGCTGCTTGTCTGTGGTGTGCGTACAGAGGTGCTGCTGGCGAGGGTGTGCCTGCCCGGACAGAGGGAGGTCTGCACCTGCCCGCCTGCTAACCAGAGCTCACCTAAGCTTCCTCCTGCAGTTCTCAACAGGTTAGAGGAGAAACTGAAAGGAAGATGTCGCTAAGGTCCCTGATGAGGTAATGTCTGTGATTCCGGGACAATTGTGCAGAAAAACTGCCACCAATAGTCTTCATTACGAAGCCTGTGTCACGTGGCCCGTCAGGGGTGCTGGGTGCCGGGAAACGTCCCCTCGCGCCACTGCTCTGCACGCCTGGGAGGCAGAGGCCGTGCTCTTCCGTCCTCGCCACGTTGACTATGGCGCCAACGGTCCTATGGGAGCTCAGGCCACCACAGAAGATCCCGTCTTTCCAAACCCAGCCCGAAACCAGACACACCTCCGCCTCAGAAGCCCGAGGAGCCCCCCCCCCCCCCCCCACTCCTCGGGCCCAGGAGCCCAGGAGCCCAGGAGCCCAGGAGCCTACCCAAGAACAGTCACCACTTTGAGAAGTCAGTCCCTGGAGGCGGCTGGCCCAATGGGCCTCTCCTGGAGGGCTGGCCGGTTCAGGGCCTTCTCCGAGTCCCACAGTCGCCAGCTGTGAAAGGAAAGAGGGAACGTGAGGGG